CCTCTTTTTCTCAAGATGTCTCCCTCAAACAAAGCCCTTTGAATACCAGGCAGGGCTGTGTAGATTTTGACTCTGTACTACTGATACAGGAAACCTTTGTGTTATTGTCTCAGTGATGGTGTCAACACATGGCAGTTATTTTCTCAAAACCAATATGGAAAGTATGTAACAAAAGCATGTTACAGTTTTATCAGACTTTGGTTCTGTTAAAGCTTATGATGTAATACACAAATTATTTCGTATTCCCAAACAACATACAAATACAGGTTTATTGCTGGGTCTAAAAAAAAGCTACAACTAACGAATAGTCAATTGTAGTAGGTAATGGTTTGAAATACATTAAACAGCCTTTAATGAAATACTATAATATTATCAGAGAGAGAACTCATATTCATCCATTCATACCATTGGTAATTCCATTAAGTGTAAACAGAAAATTAAATGCTTTGAAGCTAAAACAGTAGAAACATTTGACTTGTATAATATTTACATTAATCTTCCTATTGAACAAATTTTTTCATCAACAATGTATTTAAATATTTTGGAAAGTTAATGCTCTGCATCAATAAACACAGAAGTTTCCATGAAAATGTTACAAATTATCACTGTTTCATGTTAAAGAATTCTTTCAGGCTATGTGTTTTTATATGAAAACAAATTTATGTAATTTGGCCAACATGAGTTCCAACAATTAGAAGGAATTTGAATGGGAGGCTAAACTGAACCCACACCTTGTTGATTTACATTTATTTGAACTGGAATTTTCCTACATAACAAATCTCAGTAAGAGAGACTAAAGTAAAACTTTACATATCAGTCACACTTGTAAATATATATTTGATATTCTTATATCAAAATTTTATTAACACAGTCAAACAAATTTATACACCAGAAGAAAAAACAAAAAACTTTCACTAAAAAACAAAACACAGTACCTCGACTTATACATCAACATCATTAATGAAGCATTTACTTTCAAAGTTTTCAATAAAGTGGATACTTTCAACTTTGATGTTATAAACTTTCTATTTATAAATACAAACATTCCAAATATGTTACAATGTTTAATATTCACAGCTTATTAGATATAACAGAATTTGTTCAAAATTACAGGACTTATTGGACAAATATCACAAACTCTATTGCATTTGTCACAAACAGTGTTTATTCTATCATATTTAAAATACAAAATTCATTCACTGTCATGAAAAATTCATCAATATTCTTGATAATGATTATGGGTTAAGAAACTTGACCAAATATCATTACCTGTTCAAACTTCACATCTACATTTTAATTCTTTTGGCCACAATTGGTTTTATCTTCTGTTAGTTTAATGGCCTTATTATGTATAGCTAATACTAGTGATATAACACTTCCATATATGGTATTACACTACTTAATTAGACGAGTTACAGTAACTTATGCTAATTACTATATTTATAATACTTACAAATGTCGTAACTTTCCTTTCTAAGTGGCATCATTAATATAGAATGTTCTTGAGGCTTACTGTTTTCACTTTTCATCTTTTAGAGAGGACTTAACTTATACTAACGTTTTCTTCATTACCCATTCAAGCTGTCTCCAGCCATTATTAGGACTTAACTTTATTTATTTGTTCCTACTGCCTTCTCCATTTGTATTGTTAAGTGACAAAAGTTAGTTAGGATGGAATTAGTTGTAGTAGACACACACTTCATAGTGTGTTTAACATATTTTATTTGTATTACATTAAACATTGTAATATTTTAACTGCAGAAACAATATTACAGCTATTTATTGTACAATTTTGGGCATTCAGTTAATTACATATTTATTATTTTGTATCTCCATTAACCTGAATGCCATCTTAATAACATCTTCTTGAACACAGGTATACTGATGTGGCATTGTTCAATGAACATTAACTCTATTACAGTACTTGCTGGTGTTTGTGTGTTCCTTAATTTAACCTAGTGTAACTACATCTAGAAGTAGCTGGATCAAGATATAAGTAGCCAGTCCTGTGTTACCATATTCAGAAGTAAATGGATCAAGATACAAGTAGAGTAGTCAGTCCTGTGTTGCCACATTCAGATGTAGATGGATCAAGATCCAAATAGTCAGCCTACTGTAACCATATTCAGAAGTAGCTGGAACAAGATACAAGTAAAGTAGTCAGCTTAGCATAACCACATACAGAAGTAGCTGGATCAGGATCCAAGTATTCAGCCTACTGTAACCATATTCAGAAGTAGCTGGAACAAGATACAAGTAAAGTAGTCAGCTTAGCATAACAACATACAGAAGTAGCTGGATCGAGATCCAAGTATTCAGCCCAATGTAACCAAAATGAGAAGTGAATCCTGAATGCTTTGTCTTACAATTTTAATTAATCAGATCATCTTTCTTTCTTCAGTTGATCAGACATTTTGCTTTACTGTCAGTATTTGGGAAAAAATCAAAAATGTCGTTTGATGGTATGTATAAATTTTAATATCAGTAAGGCTAAATAACAATTTATACCGAATTTTACTCAAACATGTTTTACTAACGACTTACCAGATATATTTTACAGATGGGACTTTAGTATTCTTTCTCATCTATTTCAAAAATACAATTACAAATTTCTACCATACACACAACACAACAATATGATTTATTCCAACTGTGTAGTATTTTATGTTTTCTAAGGATAAAATTTCTTCTTAAATTTTTGCCAGACACTATACAACTGTAAAGTTTCCTCCAGTTGGTATTCTTTAATGTGTTTTTAAGTTAGACTTTAAAAATAACTTTTCACAAACTGCACAACTACAAGGCTTCTCTCCACATGCATTCCTAAATGAGTTTTTAATTCACCTTTTGTTCCAAAGTGTTTTTCCCAAACTGCACAGCTTTGTGAGTTCTCAGATGCATTTTTAAGTTACTATTTGTTCCAAAGTGTTTCCCACACACCATACAACTGTACGGTTTCTCTCCAGTATGTATCCTTTGATGCTTTTTTAAATCATTATTAGTTCCAAATTGTTTTTCACACACTGCACAACTATAAGGTTTCTCCCCAGTGTGTATTCTCTGATGTACTTTTAACACACCATTTGTTCGAAAGTGTTTACCACACACTACACAACTGTAAGGTTTCTCTCCGGTGTGTATTCCTAGATGTTTTTTTAAATCACCTTTTGTTCCAAAATGTTTTTCACAAACTGCACAACTGTAAGGTTTTTCCCCAGTATGTATTATTTGATGTATTTTTAATTCACTGTTTGTTCTAAAGTGTTTCCAACAAATTGCACAATTGTAAGGTTTTTCCCCAGTGTGTATTCTTTGATGTGTTTTTAAGTTACTACTTGTTACAAATTGTTTTCCACAAACTGCACAAGGGTAAGGTTTCTCCCCAGTATGTATTCGTTGATGTATTCTTAATTCACTATTTGTTCCAAAGCATTTTCCACAAACTGCACAAATGTAAGGTTTTTCCCCAGTATGTATTCTTTGATGTATTTTTAAATCACCATTTGTTCGAAATTGTTTCCCACAAACTGCACAACTGTAAGGTTTCTCCCCAGTGTGTATTCTTTGATGTACTTTTAAGTTACTGTTATTTATAAACTGTTTTTCACAAACTGCACAACTGTAAGGTTTTGTCACAGTATGAGTCCTCAGATGCATTTTTAAGTTACTATTTGTTCCAAATTGTTTACCACACACCATACAACTGTATGGTTTCTCTCCTGTGTGGATTCCTAGATGTTTCTTTAATTCACCTTTTGTTCCAAATAGTTTTTCACAAACTGTACAACTGTAAGGTTTCTCCCCAGTGTGTATTCTCTGATGTACTTTTAACACACCATTTGTTCGAAAGTGTTTTCCACATACTACACAACTGTAAGGTTTCTCTCCAGTGTGTATTCCTAGATGCTTTTTTAGTTCACCTTTTGTTCCAAAATGTTTTTCACAAACTGTACAACTGTAAGGTTTTTCCCCAGTGTGAGTTCTTAGATGCATTTTTAATATACTATTTGTTCCAAAGTATTTCCCACACACTACACAGCCATAAGGTTTCTCTCCAGTATGTATTCTTTGATGCTTTTTATAATCACTATTTGTTCCAAAGTGTTTTCCACAAACTGCACAACAGTAAGGTTTCTCCCCAGTATGTATTATTTGATGTATTTTTAATTCTCTGTTTGCCCAAAAATGTTTCCCACACACCATACAACTGTAAGGTTTCTCTCCAGTATGTATTCTTTGATGTCTTTTTAGTACACTATTTGTTGCAAATTGAATTCCACAAACTGCACAACTGTGAGGTTTCTCCCCAGTATGTATTATTTGATGTATTTTTAATTCATTATTTGTTCTGAAGTATTTGCAACAAACTTCACAATTGTAAGGTTTTTCCCCAGTATGTATACTTAGGTGTGTTTTTAAGTTACTATTTGTTCCAAATTGTTTTCCACAAACTTCACAAGTGTAAGGTTTTTCCCCAGTATGTATTCTTTTGTGTGTACTTAATTCACTATTTGTTCCAAAACATTTTCGACAAACTACACAGTTGTAAGGTTTCTCCCCAGTATGTATACTTAGATGTGTTTTTAAGTTACTACTTGTTACAAATTGTTTTCTACAAATTTCACAACTGTAAGGTCTCTCCCCAGTATGTATTCTTTGGTGTATTTTTAAGCTACTATTATTTCTGAATTGTTTTCCACAAACTGCACAATTGTAAGGTTTTTGCATAGGGTGTATACTCTTATGCAGTTTTAACTCATTATTTGTTTCAAATTGTTTTTCACAAACTGAACAGCTGTGAGGTTTCTTAGCAGCATGAATTCTCTGATGTATTTTCAAGTTTTTATTTGTTCCAAATTGTTTTCCACAAACTGTACAATTGTAAAGTATCTCCCCAGTGTGTGTTCTTTGATGATCTTTGATGGAACTATTTCTTCTGAAGTTTCTTCCACAAACCACATATGTATATGATTTCTCTCCAGTGTGTATCCTCTTTTGTTGTATTATATTATCCATTGTTCCAAAGTCTTGTCCACAGATTACCTGATTGTATGGTTTACCACTATCTTGATATATAACAAATTCTTTTAGGTTGTTTTCATTCAAAATTGTTTCTCCACAAACATCACTGTTGAGTTTTGTGACTTCTCTAGAGGAATCTTCTTTTCTTAAAAAGTGATAACCAGGAAACTGACTTTCACAGCAGGTGTTCACACAGGTGTTTATATCTAAAATCAAAACATATGATACAACAATAATAAATAAATCATACATTCACTTATCTGATGAAATTTTACATTAATTTTAATGGTCTAACACAGTCAACACAAATATAATTATCAATATATTAAGATAATTATGATACAGTGTTCATAGTTTTATGCTTTATAAAACTTCTCTCCACATCTTACATGTTGATAAAAACATAAAATGCAGATAACAGAACAAGTTGAAGTTTTGAATTAGAAAGAGTCTAGAATCAACTTTGAAAATATGATGGTAAAATAACCAATGTTACTTTAAGACAGTAATTTTCTAGATTAATTCTTAGAAATACTTTCTTACCTCAAGTCATTGATTATCAAGAAATCTTCCAATGTTTTATATTATTGATACGTTGATTAACATTAATAGATTGAATCTGTTCAGAAGATCTATATGCAAGTTAAATAAATATTTAGAAATGCCAAGATTTTGACAAAATAAAACTGTTTATCAATGTGTTGGCTATTCTTTTAACAAGTTTCATCTGACTCTAAACTGTATGATTACTGGCTTCAGCATGAAAAATTAAGAGCCTGAGAGTTCGATATCATTCAAGTCCCAAAATCCACAGATCTGTATGTGTCCAGAAAATCATTTCAATGGAAATCAATTATAGCAACAAATTCTCTGTATATTCTGAAATATTAAACTACAGAAAATGGCTGCAACAGTTACTCACAAAGTTGATACGTTAAGAACCAGAAAGATAATAAACATTGGTTAGCCAGAAGTTTCTTCCAGTTTCATATTATAGAAACAATGACTCTTATCTCCATCAAATTCAATCATATGTAATTTTAACTCTTCCTCAATTGTTTTGTTTTAATTATTTTCATTTCCACCTTTAGCGTGATTGTTTCCAAGTAGAGGTATGAAAAACACACCAAACATGGAGCTATACACTTCAAATTAATCAGGTCTCATACAGTTCAATAACTTTTGAAATACTACCATGAATTCAACCATTTCGTTTCAGCCAGTGTTAATGAATTTGAAGTTACTGGAGATTTATATACTTACCAGAAGTACTTTCCAACTTAGATTCAATTTGTTGTAAATGTTCTTTGAAATCAGTTTTTGTTTTCACATTCATAACACTATACTTTGAACTATCCAAACCATCATCACTGCTGTAACTGAACTTTGAAATAACCTCATCTTGTGGTAGATCACTAGGCTGCTCTGTTTTTACTTTGACAAGTATGTTCTAAAATTAAACAACACATTCAAAATGTCAATAAAAATATCAGCTAATGGCATCAATAAATAGATAAATATATATATATATATATATAATCTCTACAATATAATAATTAATTTAATCTATCATTTATGATAGTTACTCACAATGAACAGTAATAAAACTATGAAACACTTAAAATATTCTTTGTTTTTCAATAAAACAACATGGAAAAAATTTAGAGAAAAACAGGTTCATTTCTGTTTATGAATTAACAAACAAGACTTGAAGACAATACATTGTTCTAAAAGAAATATAAATATTTTGCTTACTGAAACAAATAAAAGTATTGAAGCTTATATGTGTATCCTACTGAAATTAAATAGAACTAAGTTCTAAATATTACCGGCTTCAGCATTCTGATGCTTCAATTTCATAAAATGTCAAAACATTTCAATTATAATTTATGAAAATCCAAGCCTTAACATAAATTCAAACTCATTCCCACTTGCTTTATTCAAATATTTAATTATTTTGTTTTTCTATATTTCCCAACACTATCCATTGTAATTTTATATTATTAGCTATACTAAAGATTGTTTAATTACTTATTTTCATAGATTTGGTGAAGACAGAATATGCATAGTTCCAAAATGTTCGTTAAACATGTTTACTACTGTTGCCATGGCTCTACTACTCATTATCATTCCAAGAAATGTTTTAAAGTAAATAAAGCAGACAGACATTATAATCTTCACTTGCATATTAATGACTTATTATGAACAGTAACAGAACAATTTAAATACTTAAAATGTACTTAATGTATTTTTCAATAACCAGCAAAACAACATGGAAAAATCTAGAGAAAAGCAGTTTCATTTCTTTTACTCACAGTTTCAGGTTTTGGACCAATGTACAAGATTTGAAAGTAGTAAATTATTCTGTTATTTGTAGTTTAAGCAGAAAGAGATGGAAATAATTTTCTCACCTGCTCATTGTCCATTCCCAATAATCAGTAATCCAAAGAAAAACAACAAATATTTTAATGCATATATGGGAAATAGACATTACAATACCTGCTTGCATATTAATAATAGAACATTCACAGGAGCTTCAGGAAAAATCTGTTTACAAAAACATATTCAAGGAAATGTTTAATTCACAGATGGGTATGAGAAAGTTAAAGTTTTTATTTTATTTCTACAACTGTGAGTTTTCAACATCTTTAAAAAATTATAGTTTCTACGTAATTCCACATTGACTTCATGTAAATTCAGCACAGGTCTGGATAACAGCAAACAGTGCATCAGAGTAAACTAATTAGATTAATTAGCATCTTAAACTTAGGTCATACACCAAAGGACCTATTCACAAAGTAAACAATTGATTTTTTGTGGAAATTCCAGGGATAACTTACTAGCAGCAGTATGTACCCTACCAGGTAAGGTTAAACTGGTTTAACTCTCTCTCTCTATGGCCAAGTCAAATTGTGCATGCCATGACCTATTACGAGGTTACATTTAAAATGTAACATCGCAGTTTTGGATCATTCAATTCTAGTGACTGATATATTTCTAGTGTTCTAACAGGTATATCATAGCATTTGTGTATCATTACAATCTAGTGACTGATATATTTCTAGTGTTCTAACAGGTATATCATAGCATTTGTGTATCATTACAATCTAGTGACTGATATATTTCTAGTGTTCTAACAGGTATATCATAGCATTTGTGTATCATTACAATCTAGTGACTGATATATTTCTAGTGTTCTAACATGTATATCATAACAGTTTTGGTTCATTCAATTCTTGTGACTGACAGGTATATCATTGTCAGATTTAAAAAAAATTATATATATATATGTATATATATACAAGTTCCTCTTTTTGCCAATT